TTTGAACAATTGGAATATTTTGTTTTCCATGTGCTTTTTCAGACATACACTCAATATTCTATGTGCTCTGTAACTCCAGTTGCCACTAGATGTGAGCAAGCACAGCAGAGATGAACCCACCCGAGTGTAACAGGGAAAGACATACAAAAGGTAGGAGCACCTCCCCTGTGGAGACAGGCTGAGAGAACTGGGGTTTGTCAGTCTGGAGAAGAAAAGACTCCAGAAATATCTCAGAGCACTTTCCAGTTCCTAAAGGAGGCTACCGGAAAGCTAGAGAGGGAATTTTTACAGGATTTGCAGTGATAAGACAAATGGGAATGTATCTTCAGACCGACCAAGGGGAGGTTTAGATAAAACATTAAGTAGAAATTCTTCAGTATAAGTATGGTAGTGCTCTGGAACATGTTTCCCTGAGAGGCTGTGGATGTCTCATCCCTGGAAGTGTTCAAGGCCAGGTTGGATGAGCCTTTGGGCACCCTGTTGTAGTGAAAGGTACCCCTGCCCATGGTAGGGAAGTTGGATCAAGATTATATTTAGGGTCCTTGCCAAAACAAGCCATTCTATAATACAATCAGATTTTAATAATTAATTTCAGATTTCACATTTGGAAAGAGGCTGAGGACAGCCCTTTTCTCTGGGGGAGGCTTGGACCAGGTGGCCACCCAGTGTGTCCACCACAGCTATTTGATTCTAGTGATCTGTCACAGCACTTCAAATTCATTTTCCAAGCCTGATTAGCAGCATCATGATTTATTTTGTGTAGAATGTGATACACAAGCACCATCTAGAGGATATACAGGAGATAATAATGACTATAGTTGACTACAGCAACAGCTGACAGCTGTATTATAGGAGGAAAAAGTTTTAAGGTTCACCACGACTCAAAAACTGCTGCTGAAGTGGCATTAACCCTTAGGGTTAAAAGTTATAGCAATTATTCTGACTTATGTTGCTTCTAGGATTTGCATATTTTTGCCTGGCTCATCTTCCTTTCCCTCTTTCCCTTTCTTGATGATAGCAAGGGGATGAGGGGAATAAGGAAGAACCAATTAAACTGGCAAAATGCATCACCTGTGTTTCAAAGAAGAGGCTGAAAATTCCACACAGTCAGGACAGTTCTGTATATGGGGAAATCTTTAGAAGAAAATAACTGCCAATTACCCAGCAGTTTCAGATACATTTCTGATATAGTGCATTAGAGAGAAATGAAAGGGCTCTCCTGTACTGCAGCAGTTGGCTAATGAGGATTAAATCTGCTTTGCTGTCCTGTAGACCCTGCAGCATGAAAAGAGATCAGTTTCATTCTGAGAGCTTGCCTTCTTGTATTCTAGATGTACAGGTTCCTACCCACCCTATTACTGTGAAAATGGAGTGACTATCGATAGCAAGGCCATTGGGAGCTATGAAATTTCCTAAATGTTTGTCTCTAAGATTATTGTTTTAGAGGTTGAAATGTTTCATCTGAGTGTTTGGAGAGGGAGAGGTTGCTACAAGCTGCAGCCTGGCAGGTTTCCTATTGGGAAACACATCTGAAATTAGCTCTGATCCTGCTTGGTTGTTTAATAAAAGCCATAAAATCGTTGGTGCCTGAGGAGGAAGATGATATCCTGCAGAGGTAATGCCTGCACCCCACATGTGAAGCTCCACAACATGAGTTGGGCTGATCCAGAATGATGGTTCAGCACTGGGAAGGGTAGCTGGATCTTGCAGGATGACCCAGGTCTCTCTGACACGTCACACTGAACTGGCCAGGGCTGGAGCCACCTTGTGATATTGGGGAAAGCTCAGTACCTCTGTAGATCCCAGCCTCAAACAGGAAAGCAATTCCCTTCCTCACCAAACATCACTACTGCTACTGCAAGCCTCTTCCCCGGGAAACCACCCTCATCCTAATGAGGATGGGACAGTTCCTGGGAAGGAGAACAGGAGCCCAGAAAGCGGATAGGCCCATTCCTCCCTTCCTGAGCTGTTGGCCATTTGTTCCCCCATATCCATATACAGTGAAAGGACAGGGAAGAGAGAGGGAGGAGGGATGATGCAAGGCAGAGCAGTTCTAAATTACTCACAACTGCTGAGTGTGGTCATAGGGAAGGATAAGTTCATCCTGTCTGAAATTCCATGCTGTGAATGGCAGCTGGATGCTCTTTATCAGGAACCAGAATGAGCTGCTGCAGCAACAGCTGAAACCACTCACTTGCAAAATGTGAGAGTTGGTGACTTCTTTGAAGAGCTGCAGGTGTGCAGGGAGATGAAGAAGAAATCAGATTTCTTTTTCCTCCTGAAATTGCCTGGTTTGAGGGCGATACAAGTGAGTAGCTATTCATGGAACTGCTACTTTCACTTAAGAGCATTACACTGATCTCACAGACAAATGGAAATCACCTCTTTCTTTAAAGAAAATGGGCATATTGTGTGAGTATGTAGAAAATGAAGGAACTGGCTCACATAGTGCTCAAAAGAACTTCCTTCCTTCCTTCAAACTGTGGGCTCCCATCCACATCAGCTGCTGGGCTGGAAGTGGAAGTAGTTGACTTGTTGACTCACCTGGCTGCAGAGGACTTTGTGGGTAGGCACTGCTCAGATGGCTGCTGGGACAGCCAACTTCCCAGATAATAAGAGAAATTCTGTATTACACCAATATATCCTTGTCCTGACATTAAACCACACGGGACAGTACAGTCCCTGTATGTTTGGGATGAGTCTAACAAGCCTGGGTAGCAAATAAACATCTTCCCTGCATTTCCCTGGTACCTCTCCCACTGCTTCATTGAATCCTTGCTGGTTCAGTTTCTTTCTGGCTTTGTTCCCTTCTGTTCCTCTCCTTTTCCATTTGGCTCAGTCTCAACCCTCACTGCACCACAGAGACTCTAAGAAAATTCTGGTAGCTCTGACTGAGCAGAGCAGCCACATCAGTGTCTTGCACACACTTGGTCTTGATCCTTGTCCAGAAGAGGCTGTCAGCTGCCAGCAGATTCCAAAGTGGTCTGTGAGTATCATCTATGGGGCACATAAGAGATAGCTAAGAAAAGCAAATATTTATTTGCTTGTTTATTTATATATCTATGACAAATTTTCAAACCCAGCTCAACTCCAGCTGTATGCTGGAAAATTGCTAGAGCAGAGGAGTTCACAAGCCAAAACTGGTTTTGTGGGCCAGTGAAAACCATTGCTTTGAACTGACTCTAGTTTCCTTTAACCCTGACTCTTGAAAAACCAGAGGTCTGACCTGTGGCAGCAGTACGGATTCAAACCACTGCGTGGAGCCAAAGAAACACTTTTTGAGCAGCTCTACAGCTCCCAGATCCATCATTAGGATGCAACACAGCCCGCAGTAAGTTAAACTCCCAGGTGGTGAGAGGCTGTCTCCAGGAGACGGTCTTGCCTGTGAGATAACTCAGCAGTGCTTAACAAATGTAAATAGCTGAGCAAAACCATCCTCCAGTGCCACTCTGTGTCCTACTGGAGCTTCAGCACAGCCATGCTGGACACCTTGGCTAAAGGCACACCCTCAGCTGAGTGCACACAGCCTACAGCAGGAGCAGCTTCCAGCTCTCCACGTGTGATTGATTTCACATGTGCTGCTAAAAATGCTAAAATGCCAAAAATACCATTATTCCCTTTATAAAGAGAGCCCTTCTGACCTGTAGGGGGCAGGAGGCATCTTCAAAGTAAAGTTGGGCTGTGCCTTGCCAGGTTTGGACAACCAGGTGGTATCAGGGCTGTTTTCTTGCATGCCCATGATCTACACAGACAGGTGGTGCTCAGAACATTCGTATCCAACTTCAAAAAGATTTTGGGGGCTGCACTGCGAACTGAATGAGCAATGCTTAGCTCTTTTTCCTCTTTAATGGCAATGGCTTCCCATGAACTGTGCAAGTAGGACCTGTGCTGAGCTTAGGAAGAGGAATAATAGATGATGAAAGTGCAAAACTAGCAAGCAAACGGACAGTGGCACAGAATGGAGCACCATGTACCAGCAAGGAAGGAAAACTTCCCACCACATCTCAGCAAACGGGACTGCTGGTAATTTAAGGGGTTTTAAGCACTTTTCAAGCAATGGTGTTCATTTTAGTCAGATAGGATGGCTCCAAACCACTCTTTCGTGCATCCAGGACTTGGAAAATTATGTGCAAGAAGAGGAGCCTGTCCTTCCAGGGCAGCTGGGCGGCCACCGTGGGCGGTGGGTGCAGCACGAAGGGCTCACAGCCTCTGTGTGCTGGGAACACTGCCTGGCACCAGCACGTCCTGAGTCAGAGCTAAAATATGAAAGAAATGGTTTGAATTCTCCCTCGGAGGATTGCTGTTCTACACGGGTGCCAGCAGCAGCGTTTCAGCCATTCTTGGCAGCAACTCACTGCTGAAATGGAGACTCTCTCTTCCCCCACACCGTGTGTGTGTGTGTGTTTCGGGAAAACTCTGGGGGAACTCGCTGTTTGTGTTTGGGCTGTGCAGGGAGCGCAGGTGGGTCCATGTGGCAGTGGCAAAACAAGTGACCACCAGCAAATCAAGCTGTAAGCGATCTCTGTTACTTGCAATGTTCAAAGTTATGACAAGGTGACAACATGGGATACAGGCGCACTATAGCGGGATGTTTGAGCCATACTAGGTTTTCCTCTTGTTTTGTTGTTTGTTTGTTTGTTTGTTTTGTCTAAACGTAGCGAATTGATATGGATCGTTCTGGTTTTTACACGGAAAATACCGACTTTACACGTGGCAATAGGGGAGCCAGGGATGGCGCGGGTGTGAAGCTGATGAGGTGCCCAGTGAGGCAGAGATGTTTCCACGCGGGGCCAGGAGCTGGAGGGACCGGGAGGGTGAAGTTTCTCCACCGGCGGGACACAGGGAGTTGAGGCGGTGCCGGGCGGTGGCGTGGCTGCCGGCGGAGGGGAGGGATGGCAGGCGGGGCCGGGCTGTGCCGTGCCGGGCTGTGCCGGGCGGGGCTGTGCCGTGCCGGGCTGTGCCGTGCCGGGNTTCTCCTTCCTCCCACGCCGTAAATTTGGGTGGGTTGGAGGGGGCGGGCGCGGTGCGAGCCCTCCCCGCGCTGCAGAGCCGCTCGGTGCAGCCTCGGGGCTCGGGGCTCCGCTTCGCTCCGGGGACAGGCCGGCAGCCATCCGCTCCGCCTGGGGAACAAACAAATCCCAAAAGCCCTTCTCCTCTCCATCCACAGCACTCCGTGCGGACAGATCGCTTTGGGTGGCGCTTGGGGCCGTCTCCTCCCGTAACTCTTTCCCTCAGCAGAGCCACGAGTTGAGCAGCGTGTGGTTTATTCCCGAAGCAGCCCTGCCAGCCATGGGAGCCATGGGGCCGGGTGGACTCCGGGGCACCTCTGAAAGACCTCGGTGTAGTCAGTGGTGGAGAGGTAATGGCAGGGCGGTGTGTGCTCGTGTGAGAAGCAGCGCACCTCCTGGCACGGCCTGTGAAGTGAGGTGGCTGCACACGAGCTTTGCTCCCCGGCTCCGTTCTCACTGCGCTCGGTGTGCCCGCACCCGTTCCTGCCCTGCTCCGTCCCTGTGGCCTTCATCCGCTCTGCTCCATGGTTTGGTTAATTCGCTGCAAGTGGGGCCTTGTTCCCTGCCTTACCTGCGGTGTAATGCAAGGTTTGTTTTGTTCCCAGGAGCTGTGCTCCAGCCCCCAGTTCATAGCCGGCGGAGCCACCCGCACGGACATCTGCCAAGGGGCGCTAGGTAAGGCGGGGGCACAAACTGAGCTTTCCATGTGGTGCTGCCCCGGGACAACACGGTTTCCACGTGGCTGTAACTCACTCTGTAAATACCCCCTTTTGCATCCTACCGCCTCCCTTCATATCAAATCCGACCTTTCTCACCTTTCCTTGGCATTTGCAGGTGGGGACCGTGTGTGCGGCCACTGAGCACAGCCTTTCTGCGTGCACCAGACAGGGGTGGCACACACACGGGTTTCCTGATGGCTTTTCTGATCGTGGCCAGTTCCTTCCACGTTCACATCCCTCTGCCTGACAGCAGCCTGACTCATTTCTGCCTTTAGCAGCTTGCTTGGAAGAGCACTTGTGTGCATAGCAGGACTTCTTTTTCCCAAGTGGGAAAGAATTCTGCCGAGCAGGAGGAACCTCCTGAAACCTGGGGAGATGCTGTAGAGAGAAAAGAAGTTGTATGGGGGCTTTCCTGCCAGCTGCCAGCTCTTGAGGAAGACAAAACTGGGGTGTTTCAGGAGGGATGGGCCAGCCTGTGAGCCCTCTGCTTTTGCCATGGTTTCTGCTCAGTCTGTGCAATGGCAGCCCCTTGGTGGGGCTCTCCAGGGGAGCTCTGGGGGCTGCAGGGAAGTGCCAGGGGACAGTGGGGGACAAATGGCTTAGCCTGGCTGGGAGTGCACAGCTGTCCCCATCTGGAAGCCTCTCCTGCCTAGCCTGACGGAAGGGGTTTCAGGTGGAGGATGTCCGCAGAGATATGAGGAGAAGAAATAAAGTGAAGTGAAAGCAGCAGGTTCCTATTCCATAGCTGTAGTGAGAGGATTTTAGATTAGACAGACAGCACGGTTGAGAGAAAGCTCTCATGCAGGAAACATGACTAATACAAGCTGTACTGTGCTGCTGCAGTTGGCAAAGGAACCAAGTTCTGTTTGTTTGCTTTCCAATATTCACCACACTGTGACTTCTTAGCTTCTAGTCCCACTGCTGCTATTTGTGGGTTCGTGTCCAAAAATGTAACAGGCAGAGAAGCTTATATTTTGTCCTTATGTTCTCATTCAGAAGTTTTTTAGGTTGGTGCTTTGACAACCAGACACAATTAGTATAAAAAATCCGTGACAGTAAAAATACTTAGATTATGAGCTTTGTTCTCCTCATGCCCCAGTACCATTGGTGGTGTGGGTCAGGCCCTGTTGTACCTTAGGTTGTTGCCATGTCACCAGCTTCCTTCCTGTGCTCTCTCCACCCAATACCATGTCTCCCACCATCACTGGTTTAGCATGAAGCGTGTCCCAGTGCTTTAACACACTTGCCAGACATCTGTTATCTCTTTTTACTGTGAAACTTTATGGTAAGAAGTTCTTCAAATCGAAATTAAAGTTTACTGTAATGTCATTTCAACATCTGGCATTTCTGTAGAGATGCTGTTTTCTGGAGTCACTTAGTTGTTTTCTGCCTTCTGCTTTTCCAGCTTTTCTCTCCAGATGCTGTGGCAGCAAGAGCATGAAAGATTTGAAGCTTCATTTTCAAGTTGTGAAATTGCTGTTGCTAATACCAAATTCTTTTAAATTAATGAAAGCATTTGCTGCCCTAGTGGTCTTTGGAGCAGTCAGATGTTCTCATGGGCTTGTATGGGATCACCAGAGGATATGAAATGACTCACAGCTGGTATTTTTGTACCTCCTGACTATATCTGAATCAGAGGCTGTCAGTGTTCTTGTTTGTATCTCCTTTTTCACCATCACTAAGTACTGTGATGACTCTCCTGGCTGTCTTCTCATGAATCTGGGCAGGATTTTGGTATTGTGTGACAATTGTTGATTAAAAATTAGATGCTTTTGATCTTATCTCTGTGTAGCCACTGAGTTCCTAAGAGCCTGGATGGATTCTCTGCTCTTTCACTTCTTTCCCAATGGGGCTGGCAGATGCACTGTAAAAATGCTTTTTTTAATTTTTTTTTTCCACTGCCCTATCTGACACCAGCATTTGTACTGATAAATTTGCTTAAGCTTCCATTTACTTGAACTTTGTATTTACTTTGAATGTTCATGTCCTGTCACATTTTAGGATGTTATAGAGAAGATTACAGTGGAAGATGTCAAGTACTTTTGAAAACCTGTACTTTTTATTATGCTGCTTCTTTTCTATAGGAAGCTTCTGTAGTCTCATTTATCCCCCAAAAGGCTTGATCAAAAAGCAGCAGACCTGTGCCCATGGGAAGTTCCACTGCTCAGTTGCTGAGCCCTTCAGAACATCTGGGAGTACTGCAGGGACAGATGAGGCATCCAGAGCTCACAGACTCATCACATCTGCATGGCAGCTTCTTGACAGGGAATGTGTTACCAAACAGCTCAGCTAAGGAGCAGAGTTTCTTCTAGCTCAGGAGTCTTTGGCCTGGTGCAAAGAATTTGTTTCATTGCTTTTGACCTGGACTATAAGAAACTGATGCATATAAGGCATAGCTGATCATCAGTGCAGAAAAGGTTCTCCAGACACCAAAGTTCTGCCCCTTGGGATTTGGATTATCCTTTATTCTGGCCTTGGGAGGGTTTTTTTGTTTTGGTTTGTTGTTGTTTCGTGGATTTTTTCCTTAGGAGAAACTTTTGAAGGCGAGTATTTGGAGTTGGTTTTGCAGTATCAGATCTGCAAAGTCAGTGATGGTATTTGGTTCCGAATGGCAGCACATGAGATGTGGTGACTCATTACAGCTGAGGGGAGGATCTGAAGCCAGAGAAGCCTGGTTCACCCTTAACCACCTTTTTTTTGTAATAGATGTCACCATGGTATCACAACACTGGGGTGTAAACAGCACAGGATCTCCCAGCTGCTGTTTGGATGCAGGTGTCTCCTCCTTACGTAACAAATGTGTGAAAAAATAACAAATTGAATAGGTTGGATTTAGAAAATCAGTCCCATGGTTTTCTCATGCTGGCAGCCACTCTACTGCCAGTGGGTTGCCACAGCCTTGTGTTTGTAACCATAAAACTTTCTGGAGTGCCTTGGTATTAATATGAATACATTCAGTAGCTGTTAATCTAAGACTGGTTTAAAACAATGATGAGTCTGTGATTGGCAGAATGTACATTTTCCCTTTTACCCCATACTCTTACATGAGCTGTGCAGTGACCAGAGGAGGTGCCTTTTGCTTACAGCCCTTCAGGCATTTGATGGGTGTGTTTTGTCTTTTCTTTCCAGAATGGCTAATTTTAAGCCCTTACGGCTATTTATGCTCACCTTGCAATTACTTTTTTTTTTTTTCCTAACATTCTTGTTACAGCTGGAGATTAGGTAAATGCAGAGATGGGTATATGGAAATAACAAATACAATAAAACATTGAAAGCAAGAAAAAGTAAGCATGACAGAACAAATAATAGTGCTTCTTGTTAATATGTGTTATAGATAAACTCACAGCCTGATAATATTCCCTTTTCTGATAACCTTGTTCTGCCTACTGTTCATTTACAAAAATTATTTATGATTAATGTAGCCTTGGTAACACTCCTTTCAGACTCTGAGCAACCTGTCTGTCAGCCTCTCCTTGGACTTTTCTTCCCTATCAAAGGAAAATCACTGTCAAGAACTTTACAGAAACATCAGTTCTGGAAGTTCAGATTATTTGGTAATGACCTTGCTCAGGCTTGCTTAGTGCAGGCTAGAATTCCAGGTATAATCACAAGATCTGTTCTCCTCCAGGGTCTGAATTATCAGGTGTGCTTTTAGTGATGGCTGCTCACAAAGGAAGAGATGATATCCTGGCTACTGAGTGCTTTTAGGAGTGTAAACCAAAAGATGGACATCCATATAAGCTGCAGCTGCCTTTAAACCTCAAGACCTTGCCCACAGTTGTCAGAATTAAGATTTTTGCTTGACTCCAAGTTCTTGTTAGAAACCAGTATAAAGTTCAACTGAGAGATTTTACAACAGGCTGTGATTTCAGTCTGCCTTGATGGGACAGCTAGAAAGTAAAGGAAATTCTTTACAAATTCTGCTTGTGGGTGTGGAGGTCCTCTGGAGGGAGTTTCTCCTTGAATTTCCGTGCTTCTTACCTCCAGGGGAAGCATGACTCAAAGATGTGTTACAGCATTAAAGTGTATGTTCATAATCTGGAGGCCTGATCAGCTTCTTGGACAAGCCTTCCTGAGCTGCTGTTGCCATTTGAGTTGTTCATTTGTTCTGCCTGTGCTGCTCCCTGCCTGCCCAGCCCCTGCCCAGGGTATGGAATAGAAATACCAATATTTTTTGGGAAGAATGGTGTGACAGCTGCCCTCTGAGCCAGACTCTTTCCTCCTGGCCCTGTCTTTCGCAGCAAATGCCTTTGCTACCTCTGGATGCAGGTCCCAGGGAAGAGGGTCTCAGCTCCTTGAAGGAGGCAGTGAGAGGAGTCACCACTTTGCAGGGCGAGATGGATGTGCTGTGACAGAGAAGGGAGGGGAATTTCATCATTGCTTCATAGCCTGTCACAGGAGAATAGCAAGGTGACTTTCCTGTTTAAAAACGTCTCTGACATGCTGAATTTTCCATTGCTGAACAAGCAGCCAGAGGCAGGACTGAAGGGAAAGTTTTATGTTCTTCCCCTCTGGGCTGTGAAGCAGGACAAGAACCTTAGGTTTTGAAATTATTCTGTAATTTCCCCTCTACCTTTCCTGAGATGGGAGAAGATGTGTGGGACAGACAGATTTCACGGAGCTACTGCTGGGGTCAGCCATGCAAAGCAAGGGCAGCCTGGAGAGAGCTGCAGGTTATCCGTGCTCCTGCTGCTGTTGTCTGAGCAGTGATGGATTTGGGCCTGAGGGTGGACCTCGAGGGCTGCTTTAGAATTAATTCACCCTGAGACTTTCTCCCATTTGGATCCCAGCTTCTCACCCACAAGCTTTTGAGCCTTTTCCCCTGGGAGAGAGGTGGCTGTGTAGGCACTGCTGCTTTGCTGGCTTCTGTCTGCTGACAGCTGTGGCAGGTTCACACACTGAACCTGCAGTCCTGCAGGACTCTTTTGTGGGATCTCAGGTGCAATACCCACTGCCCTCTGCTCACAGAGCAGGGGAACAGCAGATCTGGTAAAGGTAACAAGGAGTTTTGTGTCGGGCTGTGGCACTCAGGGGATCACCTGGGTCTCTAAATCTCCAACCACCGCACAAATGGGCTGCAGGAGGCCGTGGCTGAGCAGAAGGGTAACTGCTCTGATAAAGTAAAACTGGACTCTGAAAAGAATTACAGAAAGTAGAGGTGTAATGTTTATAGAGCTGAAGTCTCTTCCTCCCTCTGCGTGGCTGGAGACGGTGTGAAAAACACTGTCCAGGCAGCCTGTGGTGTGCAGCCTGGTGGGTGTTGGCTCCATCCCAGGCAGGATGAGGAGGTGTGTGGGACTGGGAAACAGTGCCTGCCTTCAGGCCTTTCCTGCCTCTCTGTGACTGTGCTGGAGACCAGACATGGGACTAAACAGAGAGGCCTCGAGCAAGAGCCTCCAGAGATGTGTAAGGTGAAAGGAGCTCCTGTTTGCAGGGAGGATAGCAAGAGACCTTAAACGGAGCTTACCCACAGGACAAGTCCCTGGATAGCAAGGCAACATGTTTATTGAACATGGGGAAGGGAAAAGAATGCAGCCTGTGCCTGAGAAAACACTGTCCCTTTGAGGAGAAATTGCACCCCTAAGTACCTGTGTGTGCCCACAGGCTCTTTGCCTCTTCTCTGCGCTGCTTCCTATCATGCAGGCACTCAACTGAATATTAAGCTTTCTTTCCAACAGCGCCAGAATGGGTGATAACTGTGGTGGTAGGTCAGAAAAAGCCTGCTTTGACTTTTTTTTATGACTTTAGTCTTGAGGAAACACTTGCCTAGATCTGGAGAGTATTTGCGTTCATATATATTTGATCTGTCTCAGAGATGAAGTGATGGGAAGGATCATCCTATCTCAGCTGAGGGAATTGTTGGTTATAATGCACAATCCTCATGCAGTGCAAAAACTAAAGTTTGAATAATAAATGCTGACTGGTTTGGGCTTTGTTTTCCTTTTCTTTTTACAGGGGACTGTTGGCTCTTGGCAGCTATTGCTTCTCTCACCTTGAATGAAGAGATTCTGGCCCGTGTTGTTCCCAAAGACCAGAGCTTCCAGGATAACTATGCAGGAATTTTCCACTTCCAGGTATGTGGAAAACAACCTTTTCCTCTTATTGGGCAGGAGCCAGTGTGGCTGGCTATGTGTGATCCGTGTGTGATCTTTCCTGGCATGGCTCTGTGGGATGTCAAAGAGCCAGAGAGAAAAAAAGGAGACATCTAAAAAGGGTGGTGGAAGGAACAAGGCCATTAATCAAAGATCTGGGAGCAAGGGCTGCCTTTGTGGTCCTTCCTCCCTGAGAAGAGCCAGCTGAATATGTGCATCCCTGAACAGGGTGGGTAAAGCTGGCTGCGACAGGGATTACTTTTCTCCCAGGGAAATTGCCGTTCAAAGATAAATGTCCTGGTGACAGGAGTGCACAGCATGAGGTGGTGATGGATGTTTGTGCTCTCTTTCCCTCAGTTCTGGCAGTATGGAGAGTGGGTGGACGTGGTGGTGGACGACAGGCTGCCCACCAAGAACGGGGAGCTGCTCTTCGTGCACTCGGCGGAGGGCAGCGAGTTCTGGAGCGCGCTGCTGGAGAAGGCCTACGCCAAGTGAGTCAGGGCCAGGCTTCCCCCCACTCACATCCCTGCTTCTCCATAGCATCCTCAACTGCATGGATGCTGTGCATTAAAGTGTCAGTCTGCTCATTAGCCTTTGCAGCTTCTGGAGATCCCCACAATGGCTCCTTTGCTACAGCGTTGTTGACGGGTGCCTAAGACAAGGAGCTAAAAGCATTGGATTTGTTGCCAGCCAAGAAAAGTAGCTCTTGCATCTCATGGTGAAGCTGTTCCTGGAGCAATCTGCTGTCACCAGGGCCTGGGAAGTTCCATTTCATGTGCTCTATGCACTTCTGAAGGCTTGGCAGCTGCAGTGCTTCAGTGCGCAAAGCACATCAGTCCATGTGCCCATGTCTGTGTTCCGTGCTCATACCTGAATCTCCATTTTTGGGTTGGCCAGAGAGGAATTCTGTCCTCTAGTTCTACTATTTTGAATTGACTTAAGAAATTTAGATCTGCTGAAAATCAGACCCATAAAGGGATTTAAAGATTCTAAACTAAACTCTTTAGTAGAACTAAAGAGGCAAATTGTTTGGTCTTAATTTTTTTTTAATATATTATTTTTTCTTCAGATATTGTTCATGGTTCCTGTCATTGGTGTGACTGAACCTGCAAGGTGTATGCATGATTGTGTAATATTTGATGCTGGGCTTTCCAAGTACAGAGGTCTAAGAAGCAAAGCTGAGGGTCACGTTTGTAGCTGCTGTAATGCTCCTGAAAGCAGAAATGCCGTGACAGCTGGCACATTGATTGCCTCTCCTGAAGGAAGATGAGAACAGAGAGCCTGATGGCTGTGTGTGTGAGAGAAGAGGAGAACAGGGAACCTGATGGTTGTGTCTGTCTCCCATTTTGTGCAGGCTGAACGGATCATATGAGTCCCTCTCTGGTGGCAGCACCACCGAAGGCTTCGAGGACTTCACCGGTGGCATTGCAGAATGGTATGAGCTGCAGAAGCCACCCCCCAACCTCTTCAAAATCATTCAGAAGGCACTCCAGAAAGGCTCTCTCCTTGGCTGCTCCATTGATGTGAGTTAGCAGGTTTCTGGGTTCTTGCCATGCACACAGGCTGGGGGTGGACCTCTGCTGCACCCGCAGGAGCTGCACACAGGATGCCAGTCCCCTCTGCCTATGGTTCCCTGCTCTGCCTTGTGCCTGAAGGATTTGACCCACAAATGTGACCCAAGCATGTGCTCTTCGTGGGGGTTAGGCTGAAACAAAACATCTTTAGTTCATGTAAAAAGCTCGTTCCCTTGTGCCTCTTCCATGAGACCTTCTGCTGTTTAGTAGGTTCATGGTAATGAACCACACAGAGAACCTGTATGGGGTCCTGATGGACATCTGTGTTCCTAAGAAAGCCTTAGCTTGGCAGCAGGATGGCACAGGCTAAGAGGGTTTGGACAGAGAGCTGCTGCTAATGGCTCCTGCAGTCAGGTGCTCAGAGGTGACAGTGTCCATCCTTGCTGCAGCCTTTTTGTTGCACAAGTTGTACCTAAAATGTTCCCAAAAGATCTGGGCTCTGCTCTTGAAGCAGAGAGTCTCGGACAGTTGCCAGACCTTTAAAAGGTTTTATGGGAAGACACACTGTCTGAAGCTGGACCCAGATGGGAAAGAGGAGCTTTGGCCCTGCCTTCAAGGATTCAACATTGCTTTTAGCCTTACTGAAATGAATCTAAGTATTGTTATTGTGGTAATCACCCTCCTCCCAAATGAGATTGCATGTTAGTTATGTCTAAAGGGAAGGTAAATTGTTTACAAAAACTCCATTCATAATATAAATGTAAATGTTTCCTCCCATTTTTCAAGTTAAATTGGAGTCCCAGGAGAGGGAAGCTTCACAGCAGGAAAAGTGCTTGGTTAATGTCAATTTGACTTCATGATATTTTCAAGGCCTGTTTTACTTGTTTGCATTTAGATAAGAATCTGACATCTGGATTTTTGCCCCAGACTGATACAAATCCCTTGGGTGGTTGGGGAGGAGAGTAAATATATTATGTTGTTGATAAGTGCTGGCACTTTCTGTAGTGTAAATTAACTGTTGCTGAGTTTATCCTTAAAAAAAAAAAAAAAACAACTTGTAAAATCTTTCCTTCTCATCTGCAAGAGAAATAGGGACACAGAGATTAAGCATTAAATGGAGAGTGTGCTGAGGGGCAGTAATAGGCTATGAATTGACATCAGGAATCCTGCCTGCTCAATCCAATCCTCTTTGTTTGTTTAAGCTTCAAATATTGTTTAAAGGTCACACACTTCTGAAATGGTGGAAAGACAGTGACAGCCACATGTTTCATAGGTGGTTAAACATTCGCTGTCTGGCAATAAGTGACTTTTCTCTGCAATGTTTAAAGGCCAGACTGCCCAAGCAATGGCTGTGAAAAATTGAGAGGGGATGTGCCTTCAGGTATGGATGGCATCCAAAGTTCAGTCTCTTCCCTTGCTGCAGAGCTGGGGAAAGGGAGGGGAACCTCCCACCCTGCTTTGGAGCTGAAGGGGATGTTTTGACCCTGAAATTTGCTGGACCTGAGTGTGATCCCAGTGTAGCTTCAGGCTGGTCACTCCATTTTTCTCCTGGTCCCTTGAGAATATGGAATTTATCCAGTGTATCCCCTTTGGAGATGCACAAGAGTGGCTGCACCACACAAGTGTTTTGGAGCCAGGAGGGAACTTTGCTGCAGTGCCAGGCTTCTGATGTGCACCCATGGCACAAACATGGTCCCTGGGGTTCCAGCACCACCACGTGTGCTGCTGTCCCCTCTCCCTGCTCTGTCACACTTGTTGCCTTGGTGCAGCAGCTCAGCCACTCTTGCAGCCTCACAGTGAGATCAGAGCACAGTTGGAGGGGGAAGCTTTGTTCTGTTGGATCCCCTGTCCATGGGAAGCTGCAATCACTGATGTCCTTTGCTCCTCCAGATCACCAGTGCTGCAGAAACAGAAGCTGTCACCTCCCAGAAGCTGGTGAAGGGACATGCCTACTCGGTCACCGGGGCAGAGGAGGTAGGTGTGCCACCCCAAGGTGCAGCAGCTTGTGTGTGTGGCAACCACAAACCCATCTTCAACCCTGCAAATTCTTAAGTGTCACCTGTTTTACTGAATTGGGTTTTGAGTCTCTTCCTTCTGAAGGAATGCTTAATTAGATGGTATGTTTTGGATAAACACAGATTTGCCTTTCTGGGTGTTTGACAAAAAAAAAAAACACCTGTTTTTCCATAAGCATGGCTATTTCCCACTGAGCAGGGTGGTGAGCAGCTCTGTGCAGAGGGCATGCTACCCTCTGCTGGTGACCAGGCCCTTCAGTGCAGCTCTGTACAGCAGGCCACACTTTGTACCTTAGAAGCACAGCAAGAAGTGTCCCTAGCAAAAAAAAAATCATGTGTTGTTGTCCCTGAAGTGCCTGCTGAACAGCACCTTTCAGCTGGGCTTGGTGCTCAAACACAAGGGGCCTGCCCAAGAGCGGGTGACTGGGGAAGGCAAGACAAAACCAAGGAAGCAGATCATGGCCTCCTTCCATGTGTGCAGTGGATTCTTGGTTAGCTCACTGATAATTGTTTCCAAAATAATTCCTGAAAGCTCAGGGTGAGGGGTAAAGAGCTGCTGATGTGCTGTGCTGGTTTGTGGGTGTGCATTTGGTCTTCTCCTCACAGCAAAAGCCGGGAAGAGGGAGTTTGTTCACCTTCATTCACAGGCAGGCATGATTTAGCCAGGCTGTTCCTTTGGAGGTCTGTGCAAACTCTGTGAGGGTAGTTCAGCTGGGGTGTCATCTCTGGACTGTGCTGCTGCTCTGCAGCTTTCTTGGCTTCAGGCTGCAGAGGTGCACCAGCTCCTGCCTCACGTGGGTGCTGTGTGCTCCCCAGAAGCAGTGGTGCTCCCACTGGAGCTCTCACAGCTGGCTTGGCCTGGCCTCTGGGTGTTTGCAGAGACCAGCAGATGGCAAGAGGAGGGGCTGAGGCTGCTGCTCTGTGGGGCACTGGTGTGGTCAGAGGGGTTGTGGCCAGTCTGAGTGTTCTGGCTGTCGTAACAGGCTCGTCTTATATATAAGCAGGGGGGTAAAAAGGCATTTGAATGTGAAGAGACAGTTTATATCTAAGCAATGACTTTGAGAAATATCTCTGTACCTGCTTTTTGGCTTTTGTATAGCAGTTTTACATTCCCCTTGCTTGCAATCCTATCAAAGGTGATTTTTTAGCAGCACAAATCAGACATTTTGGTTTTCATGGGCTTTGGTTTGTGCATGCTTGTAAAACCTGTCTGGACAAGCCTGGTTGTGTGCAGTTCACTCAGAATCAGCTGGACTTATGTCTTTTGGAGCAGATATGTGCATGTTGTCATGCCTAGAACTGAGATCCTTGCTCTGTCGTGTTTTTAATTACTGTAGAAGATGAGGGAAGGAGTGTGGTGCTGAGTCCCTGGTAACTCTCCATAACTTCTGATCCCATCAGGTGAACTTCCGAGGAGCAATGCAGAAGCTGATCAGAATCCGAAACCCCTGGGGCGAAGTGGAGTGGACTGGGAAATGGAATGACAAGTGAGTCAATGGCTTCCTTGCTGCCAGTAGCCCTTTCCTGCAGGGGTGCAGTCATGTTTCTGTGCTTTTGTGTTTCCTACCTGAAATTCCTCTGTAACTCCTGTCTGGATGTGGTGTCACATGGAACTGTTTCAGAGAGAAGCATCCCCTCACTGTCATCTCCCTCCTAGCCATCACAGGATGTGGTGCCTCTCATGCAAATTCCAGTCTTTGTGTAAGATGCAGTGGTTTGGTTGGTGAACCCTAGAAAGCTCCCGGTAGTTTCTGCTTATTTACCAGCCTGGATTCAGTGGTGAGCTTCTGAAAACTCACTTTCTAAAACTGCTTTAAAATCCATTTCTGCTGTTAGCCATCAAAGCTGGAGTTTACTCACTTCTGTGGCTGGGCAGTTTTTATTCTGACTTCCTTTTTCTGTCTCAGTCCAGGCATTAGCACTTTCTAAAAATAACACTCTGTTTCTCATCCTTCCCTTGGATATTTGAGACGTGAGGTATTTTATGTGCCAGGTGCATCTCTTTTTAATTCTGCAGTGGTTTGAGAATTCTGGATCTGCTGAAAGTTAGATCTTGTGCCAGAAAAGCCACATTAGGGTTTCACCTTTCCCATGGTAGTTGATGTGGGGTTCTCTTCCAGCTGCCCAAACTGGAGTGGTGTTGACCCTGAGGTGCGGGAGCGACTGACCAGGAGACATGAAGATGGGGAGTTTTGGTGAGTGTCACTGGGCTCCCATTCCAGCAGAAGGGAATGTCAACTGCTCTGCTTTTATTCATGCAAAGTAACCTCTCCCAGTGTGCTCTCCAAGAAGAGTGTGCAAATTCACCCCAAACCATAGTGCTAAACCACAGTGACAGGGAGGGAGGATGGACAAGGTATGGAAAGCCTGTCCCTCCTGAGGAGACATTGCCAGTGGCATTGCCTCCCACAGGATGGCGTTCAATGACTTCCTGAGGCATTACTCCCGCCTGGAGATCTGCAACCTGACTCCAGACACCCTGGCAAGTGACAGGTACAAGAAGTGGAGCCTGCTGAAGCTGGATGGGAACTGGAGGCGAGGAGCCACTGCAGGGGGCTGCAGGAATTACCCAAGTAAGAAAAAACGGAGAAACCTTTTACTTGTCCACTTGTGCTTTCTCTGGGAGCTTCCAGGAGATGGTTTGGGATGGCTGATGGGATATCTGGGACTGATCTCCAAAAAGTGCAGGTGACTGGGAAATGTGGTTCCCTGATGAGGGTCAGCTGTGGTTGTAAAGGCTGGGGTGGGAGTGGGCAGGGCAGGGCATTGGTTTTCTCTTCTCACAGCTGAGTTTGGCAGTCAGAGCCACATCTGTCCTAGCTGACATGTTCAAACATCATCACTGTTGCTGTTGAAGAAGCCTCTGAGCAGTTTGCTTAAATTCACTTCCCAGACACTTTCTGGACAAATCCACAGTATTTGATCAAGCTGGAGGAAGAGGATGAGGACCCCGATGATCCTGAGAGGGGCTGCACTTTCCTCGTTGGGCTGATCCAGAAGCACCGTCGGAAGCAGAGGAAGATGGGGGAGGACATGCACACCATCGGCTTTGCGATCTATGAGGCAAGGAAAGCTGCGCAGGAACGTGGGAGGAAAAAGAAAAATCATTCCCCCTATAAATGGGATAGGGCAGTTCCCATGCTGGGCTTTCCATCCAAACTCAGATGGGTTGAGTTGGACAGCAGCTGCAGCAAGGAGGCCATAAAGAAACAAAAAGCTGCATTATTGTCTTGCTTAGCCCCTGTCTCTTCTCCAGATGATAGAGGGGTCAGAGAGGCAGGAGTGTGAAAGAGGAGATGGGGAGGAATAGTAGAGAAATTGAGCCTACAATAAAAATCAGGGTGGGCTGCAGGCAGAAGATTCAGCAGGAAGCCACAACCAGCCAGGCTGTGCCAGGCTGTGCCCACGCTGCCCCAGGTGAGCCTCACCTGCCTCAGGGATGGAGCTGGGAGCTGAGCCAGCACTCGGCCTTGCGTGATGTGCCCAGCACCCACCTTCCCCTCAAGCCAAGTATTTTTTTCTTTTTGGTGTTGGATTTTTTGTTGTTTTTTGTTCAAGAATGTGGATGTCCTTTCTAAGTAATGGTGAAAACAAGATGGAAGTGCCATTCAGCAAGCAAATAACTCTCTCCTTTTCTCCTTGCAGGTGCCCCCAGAGGTATGTGGCATGGGTTGGTGGTCGAGGTGCAGAGTTGGGGCTCAGTGGCTGGCAGGAAGAAGAGGTTCAGAGGATCCTACTCCATTGCAGGACAACATGGCTGCACAGTCTACAGTTAGAGGCCCTTTATTCTGGAAGGGGCCCTGAGCCCACACTGCATTTTCAGAGTGTCCTGGACTGGGATAAGGGTGCTCAGTGCTGCAGAAATTCCCCAAAGCAGCTCTTCTATGGCTCTTCTCCCAGCCCAGCCCCACACTTTCTCTCCCTGCTCTCTTCACCTCTCTTCAGCTGCTTTTTCCAGGTTTGCACAAAGCTCATGTTTGCCTCATGAATAATAGTCCAAGGAGGTGTTTATGTTCATTTCCCTAAGCATTACCGGTTTTGATTTCTCTCTATTTCTACCTGCAGGCAGCTAACAGTACACCCTGGGGGTCACAGAGGGGTGGCAATGCAGCAATGCCTCTGAGCTCCTGCTCCTCAGAGGAAGGACTGAACCCATTACTGGGTTTCCTGTCCCTGTGAGGGTCTGTGCAAGGCAGCAGGGACATCCTGTGGCTGCTGAGGCTGTGCCCAAATGAGAGGCTTTTATGTAAAGTATGGTTTCATCAGCAAAAGAAACGGGGCTACTGGCTAATTAAATTTCTTATGTACTTTTTTAATGTCTTAGCAGTGCTCTGTCACTCACCCTACAGGTTAAAAAAACTCATTTTCATAAGAAAAATTATTCTAGCTACAGTCCCATGACTTTTCCCCCCAAAAGGTGGAATTTTGTCTCCTACTATGCAGCAGGTCTGACAGGTTTTTTAAATTCTTTCTTCATTCTTAAAAATCTGGGAGGACAGGAAGGAGGAGGTTTCTGAGAGATGCACATTCCTGGAGTTGGCTTCTACGGCTGAAACAGCCCAGCAAAGGACCCCTGCAAAAAAAGACCCCATTCTGGAAGGTCACAGAATCATTGAATGGTTTGGGTTGGAGGGGACCTTAAAGATCATCCAGAAACTAAAGAAAGTTCCAGACCCCTGCCATGGGCAGGGACACCTTCCACTAGATGTTACACTCCAAATATTATTTCATTATTTTGTTTTGTTTTATTCTTGGAGCCCTCCATGAGCAGGCTCTGCTCACAGGCAGCCTGACCTCAGAGGCAGAGCTGAGCTGCAGGTGGCACCAGCTCTGGGGACCAGAGGGACATGGCTCATGTGTCATCTCAATTTAAAGAAAAAATTATTGGTGGCAGAATTTTCCCAATGTCTTCAGCCACCCATCATCATCTGCATGAGCAAATGCGTGACCTGAATGATTTATTGCTTATTTATTGCAAAATGCATTTGCAGCCACATCTCAGGAGTCCCACCCCCTTTCTCTTATTTTTCAGTTCTGTCAAACTGACATCTTTTTTCTTTTATTTTTTTTTTATTTTCTTTTCCCCAGACATAGATGAGTGACATATCTATGTTATTTTTAATTTGTAAATGTAAACAGATGCAGACTGCAGTGGGGTTTTTTCCCTCTCTTTGCTTTTTCTAAGTTTTCTGGCCAGACAAATATTCATCTGAGCAAAAACTTCTTCCTGACCAACAAAGCCCGTGAAAAATCCAACACCTTCATCAACCTTCGGGAGGTGCTGAACCGGTTCAAGCTCCCTGCAGGAGAATACATCATCGTGCCCTCCACCTTTGAACCCAACAAAAATGGGGACTTCTGCCTGAGAGTCTTCTCTGAAAAAAATGCAAACTCCACGTAGGTAGCTTTTGGTGATCATATTACAGCAGTGGGCATGCAGGGAAGATTATTATTATTGGTTTTGTTATTTTTATTTGTTTTGTTATCCCTATTACTATTTAATTAAATTTAAATTTAAAAATGTCTAGTGTCTTAGACATGTCACATCTTGAAGAGCAGCTGGGCTAAAGCCTGAGGAAGGGGTGTGGGGTCTTTTGTATTGAGTTGCCCTGATTCAAAGCAAACAAAAACCTTTCTCCATCCTGTAATATTTTGCTGGACATTCCTGCAGCAGTGGGAAACCCGGGATGTTTGTTGTGTGAGGACATATTCAGCTTTTGATGGGCCCTTAGGGGTGTTTGGGCACCATCTGTAGGTCTGGTGCTCCCTCAGCACCTGGGGGACAGCATCAGACACATCAGAATTACTTCAGGGCTCTCACTTTTTTGCTGTTTCAAAGAAGAAATGAATAGACAAAGTTGGATTTGTACCCAAGAACCTGGTCCTGTGCTAAGTAGGCAGTGACCCAAAGCATTATGTGAGGCCCAAAATCCTGCCTGTGGCTCTGCAGGACATTGCACAATTTGTATTGTCTTTTCAAACCCTTGTTGCCATAGCTGGCAAATTACCACTTTCACTGTGCTAAGCAGTGTCCATAGCTGATTAATCTTTGAGTAATTTCTTATTAATTACTTAATTTCTAATTAATTTCTGAGTAATTTTTGAATGTTCATTGTTATTTCCATATTTTAAAGTATTAAAATCTAAACACTGATTTCTTTCTCTTTCTAGGGTGATAGATGATGAAATTGAAGGCAATTTTGATGAGGTACATCAAATTAAATATTTTAAATTGAGATAATTTTGTTGCAAGGGGGGGTTGGAGTTCCTGTTCCCTGTTCAGGGCGATATTGTCTATAGGCATTATGAAGAAATGTTGTCCTACTTCAGGAAAATGGGAAAAGTTTTTTCAATATCCACAGCTGGGTGTCAAGAAAATGGAAATATAATCAGGAATGTAATGGAAACAAGTGCTGTCCTTTATCTAGAACTTGGACTTCCTAGGCAGAGGTACACTCTGAAGAGTTAACTGGAGCCACAGGAAATTCCCTTTGCTCTCCAGGAGTCCAGAGTGCAGTTTTCAGCAGCAGGGCTCTTTCTGCATGTAATGCTTCCAGGAGTAACTAGTGGCTCACCATATGTTTAGTCTTGCTGGAGCTGGAGATGCTTTGCCTACCAATGCAGCTACCCCATGTGTAGTGGGTGTTTTTCCCAGCATTTACAATGCCAGTATTTTGAGGTGCATCTGAAAATCAAACTGAATAAAATCATAGTAAAAACCACTTTGTGCCTTCAACCTTGCCATTTGAATTTTTTACCAAGGGCAAGGAAATGTATTAAGTCTTTCTCAGGCAGAAACTTTTCCCCTTTTGCCTTTTGACATTCTCTGTTTCTGTCTTTTAGACTGAGATCAGTGAAGATGACATCGAACCCAGCTTTAAAAAGCTTTTTGGGCAGCTAGCAGGAAATGTGAGTGCTTTTCTGGTAATATCTTTCTGGCATCATGGGTGAGTGGGTAAGAGAGATGCCTCCCCCAGGAGAGTTCAGCTCTTGTGCAGAGTCAGCTCTCAATTGCGCATCCCGGAATCTGTGCAGTCACCCACCTGCTTCCACTGCAGATTGTGAGCCCTCCTGGTGAACAATCTCTGCTCCTTTTGAACTGTGGGCTTGACTTTTATCTCTGCAGGGCCAGAATTCTGGCCTTGGGCAGAGCATATGGCTGGGCTGGGCCTTCTCCCCAGGCTGCTCTTGCCTCGGGCACACCCTGCTGCTGGGTACGCTGATCTCTGGGAAGTGGTGGTGCTCCAGGGAATGGCAGGTGGGGAGAGCTTCCCACTTGCTTCCATTCAAGGGAACTGAACTCAAAGGGGTGTTTGATATTGGCCAGCTTGCCCAAAGGAATCAGAGGCTGCAGATGGTGTCCGCAGCTCACGGTGGAAAATCTGTTTTCCTCTTTTGCACAGGATGCAGAGATCTCCGCCTTCGAACTGCGCAGCATCTTGAATAAAATCCTGGCTAAACGTAAGTGCCTTCCTCCAACAGCAGCTTCAGATGGCCACCAGCAGGTTTCCACCATGGCCATGGGAGCACAGAGGGCACCAGTGACCTGGACAGGGTCAGAACCTGGGCTCTGCCCCAGACCTGCTGCTTGGTTCCCCATATGGCCACGACCATGTGCTCTCTCTGCTGCCTCAGAGGGCTGCAGAAACGATGGGGCTGTGCCAGCCCAGAAGGTGTTTCACAGGATGTGTGCTTTGGCAGGGTACAGATGGGTGTCTTTTATCCCAGCATCTGCCACTGGGAATTGGCTGCCAGGAAGATGGATAGATTTGAGTAATCCTTGATAATAATCAAGAGAGGTATTGCTGCTGTTTTAGTATTGAACCACCCAGGAGTGATTCAAGCAGTAGCTCAGTCAGTGGTCTGGGGTGTCCCTAAAGAGAAGGAGAAACTTTGAAACTCTGGGCTTCTTGTCCTGTGAAGAGATTCCTAGCTTGGCTCTGCATTATTTTCCTTCCCATTAAACAGTGTTCAAGAAGCAAGTGCTTAGAGAAATAAGTGTTTCTTTAATTTCCAAAGTGAAATCTTATCAGATGGTCAGGACTGTGCTGTATGTCTGTGTGCAGCAGCCAGTAATCAGCAATGGGCTGTTGCTGGCTGCCGAGCTTGGCTTCATGTTCAGCCTTTCATGAAGCCACCTCCTGCTGACCTCCATAAGCTGGAAGTCCACATTGTCCACACAAGTCCACTTTGCAGGTAGACAGCAAGAGCAGGAAAGCTTTTGTCTCTGTCTCTTACTCCTGTAGCACACCTACAAACCAGACTTCTCGGGCTGTTTGCCTGGGGACACATCCCAGCTCACTTGCACCCAAAGCCTCTTGGTCAGCTCAAAGCACGGCACCGCTGGAAGCAAATAAAGGCTGGTTGGAGAGCTCATGAGCTGTTTAGGGAGGTGCTGTGGTACAGCATGCAGTGATAACCCTGTCTTTTGCCCTTTCTTCACAGGCCAAGATATTAAATCTGATGGCTTTAGTATCGAGACATGCAAAATAATGGTTGACCTGTTAGATGTATCCTTTAAAGCTCTTCCGAGATAATATTCCCCTTCCTGTGCTGAAGCAGGCGAGCTGCCCTTGCTCCCTGGTGGGTCCATCCTGGTGTGCTAATGGCTCCTGAGGTGGAGAAGCTGGCTTTACCCTGACTCCCCTGAAAAAGCCACTCCCTTGTTATTGTTGTTCACACGTGTAATCCCACCAGGCAATGGGAAAATCCATTATCAAAGTCTGCTTGGAAGCCTTCCCAGCTGTTGGGTGTTCTGGTTTCACTGGGGACAAAGTGATGTTTGTGCTGGGAAAAGGCACCTGGCTCTCAGCATGGTGAGGATGGCCATGAGTTGTTTCACCTCTCTTATCTGGCTGGAGTTGATAAAAGCATCACAAAGCCATGGGGACATAGCAAATGGAAAATGAGGAGAACAAATAGAGTGTTTTGTTTTGGCATGCCATATAGGAAGCAAAAAGTATGTAGGATTTTAGGAGTTTTTGCTCCTAAGAATGAACATGGGTAAAAGTGTAGGAGGAAGGATCAGGTCTAAGAATAGTTGTGTTCAGCTTCTCTGTGCAGTGGGAGTTGAATTGCAGAGTTGGAGAAAGGGAAAATTACCAACACAAGGTGATACTCTTCTATAATTTGGTGCAAAATACAGCAGTCCATCAGGACTCCTTGGCAGGTTTTGGGAGCAGTGCCATGACCAGGTTCTTTTGTTAGCTGTTTGCTCAAGAGCTGAAGGTCTCCAAATAGCAGGCTTGGCTGCAGCTTTCCCTGGTTCTAATCCAGACCCAGGACTTGTGTGCCAGTAACTGCAGGTGTTGAACCCACTGTGCAGAACAAAATGGCATCACCCTGGCTCATTTAGTCCTCTCCTTCTGAGAGGACTTGAATCCCTTTTATGTTTGCAATATATTAAGTCACAACTGCCCGTGCAAGTAAACCCAGCAGAGGGAGAGGAAACCCCTTTTTCTTCCCTCTGAAGAAACTTCCTTAACTCAGAGAAGAATGATGGGAGTGGCAAACTGGGACTGAAGGAGTTCCACACCCTCTGGACAAAGATTCAGAAATACCAGGTAAGACACAACCCCTTTGGGAGAACAATCACACGTAGACTGGCTGTAGACTGATTGGTGCCATACAGTGAGCACAGTCACCTTTCCCAGAGCAGGGACTGTGTGTCTGCAGCCCCCCAGGTTTTCTCTTTATCTGCTCTGGCTGCTGCACTAAAAAAACTTTTTAAAGCCACTTTTAGAAAAAAATGGATGTAAGTACCAAGTCTGTCAGACCAATGCTGCAAAGTGTTTTAAGAAACATGCAGGCTGCATTTCAAAATGTTTCATTTCTGCCAGAAGCCAAACCACAGTCTGAATTACCGTCAAGGTTTCACTTTGTGTTTTGCAGAAAATTTACAGAGAAATTGATGTGGATCGATCAGGTACCATGAACTCATATGAGATGAGGAGGGCACTGGAAACAGCAGGTATTTATATTGATCTATCTATAGGATTCCATCAGTTTCAAGCTGGGTTGAGAGATGCTCAGAGCCAAACAGTCCCATCTTAACTTACTGAATTTTGGGCACTCTGGAGCCTTCCCCTCCTGCCACCATGCAAGATGAGGCATTTCATTTTGTATCTGTGTTTACTCTTTGGAAATGCAGTCTTCTAAGTCCTTGGCATTGTCTTTTCAGGGTTCAAACTGAACTGCCAGCTACACCAGGTCATCGTGGCTCGTTTTGCTGATGAGAATCTCATCATTGACTTTGATAACTTCGTGCGCTGTTTGATTCGGCTCGAAACCTTGTTCAGTGAGTACAGGCTTAGTAACCAGACAGGCTCTGCTGCCTTGTGATTTCAGCAGGATAACTCTCCACAAGCCCAGGATCAGGGGTTCAGACAAATTCAAACCTCAGATATTAATCTGGCTTCTCCTAAAGCCAGGAATGTCTTATAGGCCAGGCTGCTGAACCACAGCCAGTCTTCCCTGCAAACAACTCTGATTAAAAAATAGCAGACAATTTAAAATGTTCAGTCTTGCTCCTGCACAATGATTTTAGACTGGCCCTTTCTGACTTGGGGTGTATGCCACTGTCAAGTTTTAGATTCTGGGACTAAATTCCTTATTGATCCTGAAGCACAAGGAAAGGGAAGAATTTCAAATTAGTTCCTGTATTTACCCTTGTCTGTCATCTCTCTCCCACCATAGAAATGTTTAGAAAACTGGACACTGAGAAAAGTGGGACAATAGAATTGAACCTTGTTAATGTAAGTAATTTAATTTAGCTCTAAAACATTTGTTTACATTTTGGAGGGAAAAGTGAGGGGTGTGTGTGTAATGTAGAGTCTGTTCTGCTCCATTCTGACTGAGGATGGCTGGTTTTAAATACTCATATTTGTGCTGGATTTATCCACCTTGAGTATTTATAAGCAGCCTTAGAAAGGTTACCTTTCAAAAATGTACCTACATCACAACTTATTTTCTTAACAGACAAGGCTACCTACCAGAAGCCCTTTATACCTTTGCTGGCAGTAATTTTGGCTTCTTCCCTGCTTTTTCTGTCAACAGAGCAAAATGTAGGTGCAGGTCTGATGGTTTTGCTCACATCTGCTTATTTCTGTCCCGTGTGTGCCCTGTAGAAAGGACTAAGTTTGGAGAAAAGTACTCCCCTACATGTGTTTGACTTGCTTATTACCTGAACATAACATTTCTGAACCTAAGAATCCCAAAACTGATCTAAATGAGATATAAATTTAAATTGCTCAGGAAAGATCCTAAAATTACTTTTGTAACAACAGGCTGACTGTATGCTAGAAATGTGACTATACATGCTTGCTATGTGTCTTTTTACTAAATTTAACCTTGTTTTCCTCTCTCTCTTGTTACAGTGGCTGTGCTTTACTGTCATTTGAGCCACTGGCAGCAGCCTGAGACCTCAACAAGAGCATGATCAGGTGAAGATAATCGAGCTACATACAAGTAATATCCAAACATGAATGTGCCTTAACTCACACAGAGCAAGCAGATTTTTGCACGCAGTCACAAGAAGAAAAGCATTCTACTTCCACAGAAGAACCTGCAACCTCATTTTTATGGGTCTGACAATCTGTGCCAACTATCATATATAGCCTCTGGCCAAAGGCTTTAATTTAGTATCAAACCTCAGTGCAAGGTTTGAAAATACTGCTTTGCTAATATATTTGTATTTAAGGATTATTTTACATGACTTCAGGAAGGAAAGCTCATTATAGCTTAACAATCTGGTTTTAAAAAGTTGCTTTTTGAACAACATCTTGCATATGTGAAATTGGGAAAGAGCATTGCATAACTAAACACCTGAACTCACAGATAGGGGTTCCTTGTATGCTTTGTGTCAAGCCCCAGCACTATTCTAGTTAAATAATCTTTAAAGAATTTGAGTAGCAAGTGCATCTTTGACTAGAGTGAGCATTGAGCCTGAAGTGAACCTGGAGCAGGAGGCTGTTGACAAGAAGATTCTTCCAAGAGAAAGCCCATGCTTTCAGGTGGAATCTTGATTTCCTGTATTGTATTTATCCTCCTCTGAAATATGAGAAAGTATTTCAATAAAAAGAGTAGAAATAAAGTTTGCCAGACTGTTATTTCTGCTAAAAATAAGCACTTTTTTTCCCCCCCTTAGAGACAGATCATCATGCAGAGCTTTTGCTTTCAGGAGCAGAAGCTGCTGCCTTTCAAAGGTGAAAACCAGCATGCTGGAGCTAATTGTGGATGTGTGGCAGTTAATGAAACATTAGATAAGCTGATACTTTAAAAGATTAATGCTTGAACAACTAAAGGTTTCTAAGATAGATAATTGATACTACATACCCCACAGCCAGCCTGTTGAAATCAGAGGCTATGACCATGAGGCAATTGCTGCTGCCTTTAGTTTCCCCACCTGAGGAATTGTGTCCTCCTTGCAAACTATTTCTTCCTTATGGGCACTTTTTCAGAAAGCAGTAGGACTTACCTAGTAGGAAAACATGAGCCTGCAGGGTGAGGCACTTTCTAAATACCCTTAAGGAATTATTTGCTCTTCTGTTAAATACTGTTCAGTATCATATTATTGCCAAGTAGAGAGAGAGAGAAAGGATAGCTCTCCAGGAAAGGCCTTATTTTGAAAATACTGATACCAAGATGGTTTTTTTCCTTAAGTATGTCCCTTAGCTTTTAAGGTTTACAATGTGCAACTAACAGATTCAGCCCAATTTTAAATGCAGAAAAACTGCCTTGAATGGATGGTTTAGGGAGGGTTCAGTTTAATACAGAAAGTAGCTGAAAGTTAGTGCAATGTAGAACAGTTTTACTATTAAAATACCCAGAGTTAAAGCTTAAGAGCAGACAAAAGTTTAATGGTGGAGTAAAAACAAGTAAATTGTCAAGGACTACAGAAAGTTTCTACATTTAGTCTTCAAAGTACAAAATACAATAAATACATGAGGCTCTGTGTAAAAAGAGGAATCTAAAACTACATTTCTGTTACAGCACATGATATTTTGAATACACATAATTTCTAAGATGCTACAGCTTTTTTAAAAGTTATTGCTTAATGGACTGGTCATGTGGTTGTCACTCTTCAAGATGCACTTCAGTTTTTTTAGCTTCTTTTAACATTCTGCTTCCAGCAATAACACTTTAATTTCTCCCATCTGGAAAAAGTCTTGGGATAAATTTGGACAAAGCCAAGTTGTCTGTTTCATGATGATTCCTTCAATGGCAAATTCAAAAGGTTCTTGTATTTAATGCAAAAAAAAAAAAAAAAAGTGAAACTCTCCTCTGCCATGTTTTAAGAAATCCGGGTGGGTACTTGAACATAATGGCTTGATTTGACCAAAGGCAGCAGAATTTCATTTGCTTGTAAGCATTATTTCATCTTGTACAATGCCCTCATCCATTTGCTAATGCATCAATCCTTCATTTGTTTTCAAAGCACATTTTTCATAGCTTTCAAATTACATTGTCATTGAAATAAGTCTCATGATACTGGAACCAACACAAAATGGACTTTTTTTTTCTGTAAGTTATCCATGATTAGTACTTCAAGAATCTGGCTTCTGTATTATTTCATGCCAAGCTTCTTTGTCTAGGTTTAATCCTTGGATACAGCTGAGGGTAAAACAGAAATGAGGTTTAAAATTTTAGTACTTTAAAAGGTTACTTTTTTAAAAAAGAAAAAAATAAAGGAACAAAACCCCCTTTCCCTTTGGTGCTAAAATCCTAATGTAACCCATAGTAGCAAAGGCACAGTTATAAAAAACACCCATGGCACTGACAAATATGAATTTAGCAGTCTTAGGCAGGCTTAAAAAAATACCAACCATGTCAGTACAAAAGGGAGGTACTGAACAGCACATAAGTGAGTACTTTCAGTTCTACCCAGATGGGTGGGCCAGGAAAAGCATGTGGCTTTGTAAGTCAAGAGACCTCTGTGTTCAGTGAACTGTGGGATTGTTCCCTGTTCTATAAATGGGACCAGAAAGGTATTCAAGCCTGGTTTGCTTTCTCTCACCTATCAGCTTTTATGGCAGTATAGCTTTGGGCAAGCTGGAAACATCTGTCTGCAGAAGGGCCATGGAAATGGAGGAGCTGTGCTTTAGGGAGTGGAGGGTGGGTGGCCAGTTCCATGAATGACCTGCCAGCAGGAAACTGGTCCCTGCCAGCCTGTGGCCCCTGGGCTGCTCACACATCCTGGCCACACAGGGGACAACTGACAGGACACAGCTTGGGACAGCACACAGCACGAACAGGATGCCTGGGAAGCTGTTGGCTCCCACTTGCAAGGGTTTAGGGAACAGCTGCTGTTCTGAAAAGTATTTTGGCCACTAGCAGATGAAAATATAAAGACACACTTCATACAGTTAAGAGAGATGAATCCTCCCTCTAAATCCTCCCTCTAAATGGCAAAGCATCACAGCATTTCCCATCTAAAGCTCTCCTTAAAGCTGCCCTGTTCTCTCCTTAACCAGACCCTGGCTTTCTTCTTTTCCCAGTGACTAAGACAAGACCAACAACTTCACCACAAGGTCTGTCCCAGCCTGCTGTGATTTCACCATTCTTCAATGAAGTCAGTCAGTTGCAGTATCGTAACACCTGACAGTGTTCAAAAGACTCCCTCTGACAGTATCTCTTATTAGCTTAGGGAGCTAGGGAGTCACTAAGAAGGGTAGAGTGCTGATATAGAAAATACAATCCTTTTTTTTATTCAGTACACCTGACTGCAAAAGGATAAAGTAACTATGATAAGAACAAGACTATATTAATCTACCAAATGTTTTCCTTGTTGGTGAACATCATAGACTAGAACTCAGCTGCTATATTAAGAGGCCAGCAACTGCTTTGCAGACCCACCACAGGATATTTCAGTGTCAGCACTAGAACAACTGAACAGACACAGGAGTGTCACAGTTAATAAATACTGTATAGTTTCCCCAAAGATTCTGTTGGGATTGTGTTGTGCTTATAAGGGTTAGTTTTAATTCCCAGTTTAAGATGTGCTGCCTTGTGTTTTGTTTTTTTTTCTAGAAGCACAGATGTTCTTTGTGTTCTTACACACCTGTGCTCAGGCTCAGAGCACAAGCTTATGAACAAGCACTATGTGCATAATTCACCCTGGGGCAGGCAAAAATCAAACAGCTGCCATTTTAACCTTACTGTGCAGGGCTGATGGCTGCTCTCAATTTAGAAATGTTTACTTTGGAGAGGAAAAAACTGAGCAGGAGTACTGTGTTAGGGAGGATTTTTCAGTACATGGTATGTAGGCATGACCTGGAAAGGATACAGACATGAAAACTGATTTTGCATTAGATAGAGTCGCTCTGCAAAATCTAACCAGTTTAAGAGTAAGGATTATCTGCATGAGGAAGGAGGTTCAGCCTCTTTCAAGCATCATACATCAATCAGCTAAAATTCACAGTGGTTAATCTTGGAGAACCTCTTATCTCCAACACCAAGGTAGCTAGAACTGCAAAAAAAAAAAAGCTTAATGGAATTTTTATATATGTGTCCATCTGCCAGCATTTTCTAGCAACTCAGCTGTGAGGAGAAATACAGGGACATAATTGAAAGTATCTTATTTGTACACAGTTGTTTTTCATAAAAGGCAATACAAAAGGTGATGAGAGAAGGAGAGGCCATTCATGTAAGGCCTCAGACATATGGTTAAATGTTACTTAAAAAGCATTGGAGGAAACAAAGATCTGCCTTTACTGAGCAATGTAATCTGTTTCCCAACACTAGGAAAAAAGATAACCTAGATTTTTGCAGTGTTTATCCCCTTGGATCAAAAGGTGCCTTGTATACACAGGGAAGGACTCATGACTCGCTCTTCATGCAAGTTTCAGTTCTGAAAGCCCTTTGTGCCAGTACATCACTTTTCTGAAACATGGAAAACTCGTTTTGTTCTCAAACAATCATAGAATATCCTCAGTTGGAAGGGACCCCCAAGGAATAATTGAGTCCAGCTCCTGGCCCTACACAGGACAGCCCCAAAATCACCCCATGTACCTGAGAACATACTCAAGAAAATCATATTCACATGTCATATTCAGATAAAAGGGGTTTATTTTCCTCTAAGATGTTGGAACAAGGTTGGTATTAGAGCCTGGTGTGTATTGCAGAATGGTGATGCTATTGTTCTTTTGTGCACCCATTAATCTGTGTTAAGTACCTTAAACAGAGGGTGTTAACCCACTCTGCCAAGGTATTCAACTCCCTAAATAAAGATGGAAAATGTCAACTCCTTCCTCTTGACTCTTAAAGCTGCACCTTGATGGACAAGACCCAATGAGAATACAATGCTGTGTACACTCCACATCCTGGGGTGGGGTTTTTTTGGCTCTGGAAGTAGCCAGGACTCACCCCTAGTAGGTTTCGGGGCACGTAGCCTTCCTTGTCATTCAGCCGTGCCCACCACCACTCGATCTCCTCCTCATCCTCCCGGCGCAGGATTGTCATGCAGTCTCCTTCCTTCATGGACAGCTCGTCATCATTCTGAGCCTCATAATCCCACAGTCCATAAATCACGCCTTTGTTCATGATCCCCATCTTCTCCTGCACTCCTGCAGCATTGAAAACACAGAGCAGCTCGAATGAAAAGAAAATATATAAATAAAAAGGACAACAGGAGGGAAGACTCATTTATTCTTACTGGAAGACAGTCCAGGGAAAGAAAAAAAAACCCCAAAATTTCTACCTTACTGCCCGTTCAGAGTTGGTCCTGGAAGAAGCGGCTTTGTGAAACTACTTAGAGCAGGCAGATTCCTTCCTTAAACATGCTCAGAAAATACAAGGCAAATGGGGAGCGCAACACTGATTGACAAAAGGTTATATTTTTGTGTTCACATTTTCTAGACCTAAGTGATGAGCAAGAAACACTTTCTGTACCCTTAGTGCAACAGTAATCTCTTTCTGTCACAGGGAGAGAGCAATACCTGCTTGGGTTGACCAGGACTGTAATTTTGATGTGTATGGTGTCATTTGCCACCTGGGCCATTTTATTTCAGAACTTTAAAGCAAGCTGCATCTCAGACCTGAGAGATTTGCCTGCTACTCTGCAGCTGCTTTTGGTTATCTCAGCAGTTCTTCATT